CGAACTCTCGTAATCCATTTTTTATTTAAATTTGTTTCGATTTTTAAAAATCGGTCGCCATATTGGATCCGCCATTTTGAATATTTAAAATCTGATGTCAGATTAGTGTTCAGCGACCCTAAAAACCCCTGAGTGACAAATTTCAATTGAATTATAGCTTTTTTTGTTACTTCTTTCACCATATTGGATCCGCCATCTTGAATTTTTTATTTTGACACTTAGCATTTTAAAGTAGGAGTAATTACCTAAATTTCTAATTCAATTTAAAACCTTTAGAACTTTTTACAACCCTACAAAGCACCATAAGATACGTTTTATTGAAATTTCTTAAAATTTTTAAAAATCGGCCACCATATTGTATCCGCCATTTTTAATATTAAAAATCTGATTTCATATTTGTGTTTAGCGACCCTAAAAACCCCCGAGTAACAAATTTCAAGTGAATTCAAGCATTTTTTTTTACTTTTTTCACCATATTGGATCCGCCATCTTGAATTTTTTATTTTGCCACTTTGCATTTTAAAGTAGATGTAATTACCTAAATTTTAAGCCGTATTTGAACTTTTTTCATTTAAATCTATTCTGGGGGCGGGGGTCTCTCGTTGACGTGGAATGCCCCATATATATTATACGCATATAAGACTAGGGAAAAGTCAGATGCAGTGTGACCAGGCCGCAGATAGACTTGACCCCCATTATGTTTCTATCCGCACACTAACACATGCACATACATTTCCTGTATATGAGCCTCTTTTTCGTTTTCCTCTATTCGCTAGATATACTATGCATGCATTTACCGGCGGTCGATTGCTTTTTGGCGCGGGAAATTCAAAATGTAGAAATATTCTTTAGTAATTCACAATAAATATATTAAGTAAAAAATTAATTACTTATTCAAAAATGTTTTTATTATTAATTTTCAAATATAATAAACAATAATTCCTGTATGATTATAATAATTTATTGAAATTAATTTTCAGGTTAAATAATAAATTAGATTTTAATGAATCTTTCAAATCAAATTCAAATAATTTTTTAATTTATTTTGTAAAATATACTTAAAGAGAAAAAATAAAATTTAACAAGTAGGGTGTCCTTTATGTTCATTTCATGAACATTTTGCTTCCTCATTATATGATACAAAAAATTTGCTTCCTCATGGAGGAAGCATTAACACTGTAATTAATATACATAAAAAAATTGTGTTTGTTTAAATTCAAGTTTAAACATAAAATTATTGTATTCCTTGCATTATAGTAAATCGATTGGTATGTATGATATATATTTAAATTATTATTATTATTTAAATTGAAAGAGTTAATGGAAGTTTAAAAAAAGGAATACAATTATTTTATATTTGAACATGAATTTAAATAAACACAAAATTTCTTTGTTAAAATGTAAATTTTTTATTTTTTAACTTTCATTAATTGTTTTAATTTAACGCAAATGTATACTTTATACATACCAGTCGATTCTTTTTAATGCAAGGAATACAATTATTTTATGTTTAAACTTGAATTTAAATAAAAACACAATTTTTTAGCTAAGACGTAAATTTTTTATTTCTTAAATTTCATTAATTTTTTTAATTTTATTCAAATGTATACTTTCTATATACAAATTGATTTGTTTCAATGCAAGGAATAAAATTATTTCATATATAAACTTAAATTTAATTAAACACATCATTTTTTAGCTAAAATGAGAATTTTTGATTTTTTAACTTCCCAAGAAGCACGTAATATATCCTCAATATCAAGGTAATATTACACGTGAGATTCGTAATATAACGCTGTAATATTACAGTAATCTTACAGTGATCTTAAAATGTCCGCCTCAAGGTAATATTACCGGGAATATGACTGTAACATTAATGGTAATATTACAGTAATATTACAGTAATATTACAGTAATATTACAGACTGATTTGAGTTATTCATAAAGCATAAAAAACGTAAATATATTATAAGTCAATTTGGCTAGTTGGTAAAACTCTGGACTCGTGTGCTTTGAGTTCGGGGTTCGATTCCCTGGATGGGTAGATTTTTTTCGTAAAGAAATGTTCCCATAATATTACTGTAATATTCTCTTGTAATATTACCTTAATATTACGGTATAATATTACTGCAATATTACTGTAATATTACCTTAATATTAGCGCGTAATATTACAGTAACATTACCGGTAATATTACCTTGAGGCGGACATTTTAAGATCACTGTAAGATTACTGTAATATTACAACGTTATATTACGAATCTTACATGTAATATTACCTTGATATTGAGGTTATATTACGTGCTTCTTGGGTTTCATTAATTCTTTAAATTTCAATCAAATCTATACTTTATATATATCAATCGATTCATCTTGACATAAAGAAGACGATTATATTATATATTACCTTAAATTTTTCGATTTAAAAATTCTTTCAATTAAAATAAAAATTTTGGAAAAAAGACGATAAAATTTTTTTTTTGGGTATCTTTAAAAATCCTCTCGTCATTTTTGAGAGATTAATGTGTTAAATAAACCTACCAAATTTTACCCAAATCCATTAAAACCTGTTAAAGATATCGTGTTCACAAAAACTATCCACACACAGGTACACACACACACACACATACACACACATACATACATCCGGACAATTGATCAGGATCTCAAATAACATGTTTCTATATAGAGGAAAATTTGTTTTCACCATTTTTAAAAATTTTATAAACGAAAGGACTACATAGCTTCCTCCACGAGGAAGCAAAATTAATGCTTTCAATTAAAGGAATATATGTATAATAACTATTTAATTTTATTTTATCTCTTTAATAATAATAAAAAAATATAATTTTGATATTTCATGATGTTTTTTCAATAAATTCTAATTTATTATTTAACTTGAAAATTATCTTCTACAAATTATTATAATCATACATTAAATTATTGTTTATTATTATTTATTTTTAAAAAAGAGATAAAATAATTTATATAGAAATTAATAATAACTCAATTAATTATTCAATTATTAAATTAATAATAATTAATTAATTAATAATTTCTTTTTTATGATAATTTTTAATTAACACAATTATTAATTAAATAATTATATATTGTTAATTATATTTCAGACTACTTACTTCTTTCATAATTTAATCTACACAAATTTAAAAAAATTACCTTTTACACCTTATTTATAAATAAGGTGTAAAAGGTAATAATATAATTTATAATATAATTTATTTATGTAAAATGTAATTTTTTTAAATTTGTGTAGATTAAATTATGAAAGAAGTAAGTAGTCTGAAATATAATTAACAATATATAATTATTTAATTAATAATTGTGTTAATTAAAAATTATCATAAAAAAGAAATTATTAATTAATTAATTATTATTAATTTAATAATTGAATAATTAATTGAGTTATTATTAATTTCTATATAAATTATTTTATCTCTTTTTTAAAAATAAATAATAATAAACAATAATTTAATGTATGATTATAATAATTTGTAGAAGATAATTTTCAAGTTAAATAATAAATTAGAATTTATTGAAAAAACATCATGAAATATCAAAATTATATTTTTTTATTATTATTAAAGAGATAAAATAAAATTAAATAGTTATTATACATATAGTCAAGGGGGAATTTACTCTGGTAGTCAAGTGTACACTTGCCTGGTAATACTTGGTAATACCTTTAATATCTGTAATATTTTGTAATGTCTTGTAATAATAAGTATTATTGTGTAATATCATGTAATTCTGTGTAATACTTGTAAGATTGCGGTATTATGGTGTAATACTTTAAAAAATTTAAAGAAAATCAAAACAAAAAATGTTAATAGAAGTAAAAATTTTAAACACTAATTCAAATGTAGCGCGGGAGTTGATGCTGAAGTATAACAACTTTGCCATAGGTGGCGGTATCGAATATTTACAGAATCAAATCAGAAGATGGTTCTTTAGTAATTGGCCGAATTTTAGCTTTTAGCAACATACCAAATATTAAACGTTATAAACATGGATGCTCACGGATAATATAATAAAGAAAATTATATTTGTTCAGTTCCTCGTCCAAAAATAAAAACAAATAAGTTATATTTATCGTGTTCTTTAAAAGAAATTTCAAAACATTTGAAATAATAGTTGTTTACGTTTTAAAAAAGAGAAATTTATTATTTTCTTTTATAAGTAGGGTAAATGCACTAATTGCGGCGCGATTCGAGTCAAAACACCTTTGAAATAGAAAATTCGACATTTCTATTGTATAAACTCAATTTAAGACTTATTAAACTCATAGGTTATGTTATTTAGATGTTAAAAAAATGTTTAACTTTATAAAAAGCGATTATTTAAACAAATATAAGAAATTAAAAATAATACCCTAATTTTCTATTGCGGCGCGTTTATATATCGATTTCGGAGACCAAAATTACGTGTATTTTGAAAATACTTTACCCGCCGAAATCAGAGCCAATGGAAACATTAAACAAGGAGGGGGTCTTTTATGTTTATTTCATAAACATTTTGCTTCCTCATTGTTTGAAGCAAAAAATTTGCTTCCTCGTGGAGGAAGCTATATAAATTTCTCCGATCCAATTGATTGTTTTAAAAAATTTCGAGTTGAAAACTTTTTCAAATTAATTAAATTTTTTGAAAAATTAAGAAAATTTTAATTCATTTTGGGTGTAACATATACTTTATATATACGAATCGATTCGTTACAATGCAAGGAATACAATTATTTTATGTATAGAGATATCTAACGTGACGTCACCCCCGTCGGTAAAGTCACAGAAAGTACAGCGATTACCACCGTGGCCCCAATTTAACATTGGCTTATATAGAAGATGACAGAAAATATTTTTATTCTCTGAAATTAAATAATAAATTATGATAACCATATGTGTTTTTAATAGAGCAGTAATTTCTGCAAATGACAATAATTTTTAAATTCATCAACAGTTTTTAAAAAGTTGGGGAAATTAATTAAGAAAGTGCCACTATTAAAGTATGGTTATGTTCGTGTACGTGTGAGTGCCATGTGTTTTTTGTTTACCTTGTGTGACAAACTCGTGAGAAGCCGGAAAAACTTTTAATGAGTGTTTGAAATTAAAGTGAAATTAAAATGCCTTATAAATGTGTAGTGCTCAATTGTTACAGTCAGCGTAAATCTCGTGAAAAAGGTAGTGCTGATTATTTATCATTTCATCAATTTCCACGAAGCAGAGACAGTATGACACACGACTTGCAGGTGATAGTTGATGATAGACGGAGAGCTTGGATCCAGGCATTAAAACAGGATTTCAATAAAAGTACTTTGAAGAATGGTCGAATTTGCTCGAAGCATTTCATTTCAGGTTAGTTATATATATTTGAAGGTTTATATTTAAGTAAAGCACATAAATAGGAAAAGGTAGATTTGGTTGCAAAAAGTTAATTAGAAATAGAAAACAACAAAATATTTTAATTCCCAAAATTCACATTACATTTTAGCGTAAAAGTAGTTATTATAAAAAAGAAAGTGTATAAAATTTTGAGTAATTTGGAAAAAAAAACTTTTCGGGTTCCCGTATGAGTTCGAAGTACCAAATTTAGGTGCTTTATTTGTACCCCAAAATAAAAGGTTTAAGCAAAAAACTTGCAGTCCTGAGATAAAACGTGATATGCCTTTTTTTCGACTTATTTGACTGGACTAATTTTGAAAAATTGTGCAATTATTGCAATCGCATAATCTACCTTTCTCTACACAAAAATTATTAATATATATTTATTTTTATTGAATTATAAGAATATATTATTCCTTATTTATTGATGTTACATTTGCAACTTTTAAATTATTTTTTTATTTCGGAAACTTTAATTTTGTATTTGAATTTAAATTTATTTGAAAAATAAAACTAATATATTGCATATTACGAATCAAATTATGAGAATGATATTAAATTGTGTTAGATTGTAAGAAAAATTTTAATGCAGTTAATTTTGCAGGTCATCCAGCTCACCACAAAGATAAAAATCACCCTGATTGGACACCTTCTCAAAATTTGGGATACGATATTGGAATGGCAGTAAAAAAAACCTCTGATTTTGAAAGATACGAAAGACAGAAAAGAAGAGTATGTAACTGAATTTTATAAAGTAAAATTTATATAGAATCGATTTCTTTTTCTGAAGAAGTCTTAGTTTGCCGAAATCTCATTTATATATGAATTTTATTTTACATTTTTTAGTTATTTTAAAACTTATTTTTTTATTTGATTTTATAGATGCAAATATGTATTCTGTTCATACATTTAATATAAGTTTCCTGGAAAATTTAATTGATTCATTGTTTATCGAATTATAATTTGGAAAAATGAATATAAAAAAAATTTAATAATTTTTTAATTTAAAATTAGATTTAATTACATTTATATTAAATTAGAGAGCAATAATTTAAATTATATATTTTTTCAGGCGATTACGAAAATAAATTTTGTCCAGGTAAAAGAGGTTCCAGAATCTTGTCAAGAGAATGAAGATTCGGAGAAGCTCTCATCGATTAATAATTTAATTACATATTCTAATGAAATAATTTCATTGGAAACAGCAGGACAAGAAGAAAATTTGGTGCCAAATCACGATAATGCAACAAATTTGCTTGTTGACGCTTCGGTTCAAACAAATCTTACTTCTTTGCAATTGTCGCAGTATTTTAGTTACATGTCTTTGAATGATTCCCTTAGGCTTCAAATGCAATCGAAATTAGATGTGCTTCTGTTAACCGAAGCTGCTTTTAAAGATAATGATCTTAAGACTAAGTTTTTCACAGGCCTTGATACCTCTAAAATACTTTTTGCTATCCACAAGTCGATTGAACCTTATTTATTAAGTAATAATGCTAAATTGTCGACTTTTCAGCAACTTATTCTTACTCTGATGAAATTACGGTTAAATTTAGATTTTAAGTACATGGCTACTAGGTATTGGTCACGGACAATATAATTTATGCTGTCATGTAATTTTTAAATGTTTGCAAATTAATTAAATTTTTCCCCATTAATATAGGTTTGACGTACATCCGAGTACAGTTTCCACCTATTTTCACAAATGCCTTGATGTTCTCTACCAGAGGTTCAAAGGATTAGTTTTTTGGCCAACGAGGGAGACATTACAAGCAACAATGCCGTCGTGTTTCAAGGAGAGTATTTTTGAGAACAAAGTAACTGTGATTATTGATTGTTTTGAAATTTTCATTGAAAATGCTTCCCATCTGTACACAGGTGCACAAAGCTGGTCCAACTACAAGCATCACAAAACTGTGAAAGTTTTGATAGGAATAACGCCTCAAGGGACAATTTCATTCATTTCAGACGCCTATGGAGGCCGTATCAGTGATAAGGCAATCACTAAAGCTTCTGGATTTTTGGATAAATTGTTGCCGTATGACCTTGTTCTGGCGGATAGGGGATTTTTAATTGAAGAAGACGTTCAGAGTGTTCTTGCTGAAGTTAAACTTCCGGCTTTCACAAAAGGTACCTTTAACGTGCATTTTTCAATGAATGTGAAAGAGCTAAAAAGTAAGTGGTTGGATCAGTAGAATTAACGAAAATTTGATTTTTGTTTTATGGTCTTGAAATCATCTTACGCAGTTTCTAGAACATAAGAAAAGATGTTCGGCACCTATTAAAGATTGTTTATTTAGATTTTCTTTATTTCCTTCAATCGCTTTGCATTGAACATATTTCAATCGTATATTTCATGCCTTATATTTTTCTACTTGTCTGAAGCATATAATTTAAAATGTGATTGTAAAACTTTAAGCTCGTTTTATTTTTATTTATTTTTTTTGACATATATAGAATCATTTCTGAAAGTATCAATTTTTTTTAAAGTTAGGTCGCAATGACTAGGTAAAATACGGATAATCTAATAGAATGATCCATTTTATTTTAGGAAAATCTCAACTCCATCCGAAAGAAATTGAAGAGACGAGGCAAATCGCCCACGTCAGGATACATGTTGAACGTATAATTGGTTCTTTGAGGCAAAAGTTTCCCATTCTGGCTGGCCCTTTGACGATCACACTTTTATCGACAACACAAAGATCTGTAAGTGAAATCGATAAAATACTGTGTGTATGCTCTGCATTATACAATTTAAATCCTTCAATAATAAGTTAAGTGCAAATCAAGATGATTTATACAAAAAGTAGAAAAATAGTGCAATACTAAGTACCAAAATTTTAGAATTCTTACAAAGAGCACCTTTCAATTATTTACTGTGATCTATTTCTGTCCATGTATGTATGTATTGAAACGCATGATTTTTATTGTGTTTGCAAAATATCTATAATTATTTCACGACTCTAATTTTTGTAATTTCAGCTTAGTGGTTTAATTATATTTTCGTGTTTTTATAAAAAGTCTTGCTAACTATTCCTAATATTATTATCAATAATGCTATTACTAACTTTTTTTTAGTTCTATTTAAAACTTTTTCTTTTATTATTGATACCAACAAATTTGCAAACATGACAAAAATGTCCCACATTCTTTGAAGTTGTTCAAAAAAGTTTTATAATGAATCAGGGAACTGTATAATTAGTCAGGGAAATTTTTTGACTGATTCTAATGGCCAACATGTTTTACAGTATTGTACAGTTTGTTTTGCTGGAGTGGGTTCTTTATTTAAATTTATTTTAAAATGCACGGGTATGCGATTGGATGGTTTTGTGATTTGGAGTAATTAATCATTTTTGTTGCATTTCTTTCAATTATAATTTTGTGTTCATTGGGTATTGACGTTTTGAAGATTATTGTACTTGAATGGGTTATTTGTTTTATATTAATTGCCAACTTATTGGTTTGCCAAAATGTTCAGCAACATTTGAAAAAAAACTTAATATATATTCAAGTTTATGAAATTCCAAAATAATTTTTCTCAATTTTTTCAAGTTAAATATTTTTGTGGCATTAAAAGACCATAATTTTTCACAACATACACTATTATTATATTATTATTTAGTTTGAAATTAGAAATGTAATAAGTTAATTTTGTAATTTTTGTGACGAAAATTGTTTTGCATCAACTTGTCTTTCATAATAGATTTGAAGTATGATGTATAAATTTAAATTTTAACTGTGCTTAGCTGGGATTTTTAAACAATTGTTTTATATATTTATTTTATTCAACAAAATTGTAGTAATTTAATTCTTTTAAATGTACGGTGTTATCAAGATTTTTAACGTGAAAAATAAATTAAAAGATAATTCAATGGTTGCTGGACACTGTATGCACTTGGATGTTTTTTCAGATTATAAATTTTTCTATTGCACTTTTTTATATTTATTTTTGTTTTATTAAATTATCTTAACATGATTTATGAATGTTTTTATGATTTAAGAATAAAGAAATAAATTAGTTTGTTACGCTGAAGGTCTGAATTTCTAAATGTATTTCTATCTCTATCTTGTCAATCCAATCAAAAAAATTTATTTTTGTTTATTACCTGGTTTTATGGAGTTAACAATTATTAGGTGTTAAGCATGTTAATTTGATTCATAAATAAAATATTGTTAATTGCAGATTATGTAAACATGAATGCTATTTATTAAATGTAAGAATTAAATTCAAATAAAGCTGTTATATTCTGTATAAAAAAGATTTTTTATTAAACTTTAAAATAGGTGTCATTGACATTTATGAAAACAATTTTTTACTGCATGTTTTACAGAACCAGTATAATGTTGTGACATTTGGAAGCGTAGTGCAATTTAAATGAAACCAGACAATATCACAATTCGCGTTAGCACACTGAATCATTTCTTGACCATTTTCTGGTTGATTGCAGTCACACCAAAGCGCTACATTGTGAGACACACCATTTTTTTGCATGGTGTACCATCTAGATAACAATTCTGGGATAATTACCTGTCGATGAAAATACATAGCGATTTCGAGTTTTTCTGTACAAAATACTTCGTCAAAAATTATTCTTTCAACAAATAAAAATTGTTTACACCAAACAACAAAGTCGCAAAAGGTCAATTGTAACGCATACATTTGAAGAATCACTTGATAATAGTAGGAATGCACTTTCGATAAACAAATTTTGTCATTCTCTTTAATTAGACATGAACCTTTCATTTCCACAAATTGTTCAATAGTGACATTGGTGTCTTTCAAAACGTAGGGGCATTTAATTTCAACACAACCAGAACCACAACAGTCACATGTTATTAAACCATCAGGGGTTGCTCCGAATTCCGGAGATTCTAAGGAGATGACAAAACCACATTCCTCGACTGTAACATTATAATGGCTTTTTTTCATAAATTTTTCATACTCATTTCTTGCCACGCTTTCATTGACTTTTCCATATTTTATTTGTTTTGGTTCATGCTGCAATTTTTGAGGATAACAAACTCCTTTGATAACAGTGAGAGAAGGTTTCTCCACTGACGTACTGCATACAGACTTAAAAGTAGATGCGCTTATTCTTCCCGATTTTATTTTGTACCATAAACTGCTAGTGGATTGCGATTTAGTTTTTTCTTTTACATTTAACTGCTCTTCTTCGGTCACAGTTAAGTCAACTTCAACACCTTGTAACTCTTCTAATGAGTAAGACTCAAAAGATTCATTATACAATAAAAGCAGGCTTATTGGCACTTGTCCAACATCATCAACAATCCTGGCAGATGCAAATGGCTCGACAATTTTCAGTATAGCTGATTCCGGTGAACTCGCATCAATTTCTTTTAAAAATTCGTTTAAAGTATCTCCTTGCAGGCAAGGGACAGTATCTTTTACAGCTAAAGCAAATAATTCAATTACTCATATTGTTAAAAAATTATCTACATAATGTAAAACAGCGAATCTTTCAAGACAATTGATAGTTGGTTGTGTGGAAAAAAACATCATCTCCCTACCATGCTTAAACTTTTTAGCGTAAAATTTTCGATTGTGTATACAAAAACTATCAATTTCAATTATTTAATTCAAAATTCTGTGTCCCTAAACACAAAAAGTGTTTACAAATAATGATCGCAGGAATGTTTTGTTATTTTTCCAACTATTTTACATTTCTTAATAAATAAATCAGTGCTTCAATTTTCTAAGACTACAATCATTAAATATACAATTATTCTTAATTTGAATTCAATTCGACATTTATTTAATCCAATTTTTAATCAACGTTAATTTTAATAAATCAAAAAATTCGTCTATTATAATTTTAATTCGATCTAAATTGGATTTATAAAAATTTTGAACGATATAATTTTAAATCAATTGATTTTCAATTTTAATTCATCTAAATTTCAAGTAATATTCATTGGAATTCATTATAATTTACTTTTCGCATTGATCACTCGTCCCCAATCCATGTCTGCTACTTTCGCTGTCTCAACCTTTTTTTTAATTTTTGGTACAGGCCATGCAGCTAATTGATCTGTACAGGATTCATCTTCTCTTAACCATCCAGAATTCAGGGCAAATAAAATCGCTGCAACATGACTGCATACTTCCCCACAGCCAGCCATGCAGATGCAATGTGCAGCGAGAATAGAACCGTCCGGCAAAATGATAATCCATGCCCATAAATTCGTAGCATTCATGCACTGCGAATGTCTCACCTAAAAAAGGTTTAGTTAATATTCTACATTAGAGACTCAATATCATAAATAATATTTAATAATAATAAATAATATATTAAATATATATATTAAATAATATTTATTTACTCGACTTTTACATTTAGTCACAAATATTATTAAATAATCTCTCTGGGAATGCGAAGTATTAGTATACATTCATTTGATATTTATAATTTAGTTTAAATATATATTGAAAAAGTTATTTTTCATAACAAATAAAATTACAGTGGAACCTCGATTATCCGAACTTTTTTTGGCCTCCCGAATTTCAAAATTTATTTTCTCTATTAATATTGTCATTCATGTTTTTGCGGAAGCAAAAATTTCCGAATTTTCTGATTTATTAATATATTATTATTATTTAATATATGTTTATATATATTTACATCTATGTGACTCTCCAGAAGAAGAGGGACCTTAGCGCCCAAAAATTTTATAGTATATTTTTGACTTTTTCAGTGAACATACCCAATGAGAAATAATTATTATTACAAAACAATCATGTTCAAGTCTTTACTAGTTTCAAAGAATTAAATAAATTTAATTTTCATTTTCCCTAAGTAGAAAGAAACTTTTTATAAAGATAAAAATAATACTAACATTTTTGGGCGCTAAGGTTCCTTTTCACACGAAGAGTCACATACATATATACTTATGTATATTTAAAAACATGTATTATGTTAAATATATAGTTCAACTGATCACTTTTTTTACTTTAATAAAAAAAATTAAAATCTCTATTATCCGAACTTTCGATTATTCGAACCTGGCCTTATCTAGGTTAGTTCGGATAATCGAGGTTCCACTGTATAATTAAAATTAATTCAGAAAAAAATTTTAAAAATTTCAGTTTTTTATATATTTAAAACTGTTTAAACAATTACAATTTTTATTCAACTTTAAAAAATAGATTATTTTGCTTTTCGAAAAATCTGCAACAACTTTTTCTTCTTTGAATTTAGGTAATACATTTTTTTTACTATTTGCGACAACAAATTGTAATTTCACTATTCAATAAAATTATTTTTAATATCCTTCATTTACATTATGGGCATAACCACGAAGTATTTTTAATTGGGTATAACCGATTTGTTTACTTCAGGTTATGTCAAGGAATTCAAGCTTACTATTATTGTATTTGATATTATCAAATAAAGTATATTACATTGTGCAGTGAAAATGTTTTCTAATTATAAAATGATCAGAGAACAATATAATTTAATTTTCTTTTCTGTAGTGTTCGATTACTACACATAAAGTTTCAAAAAACATATACTAACCTCACCAAGAATGACATACTTCATATTAACTTCTTTGAAGAGTATTTGCAATACGAAACCTGACTTGAAAAATTTATAAGCTTCTAAGCTTTTATATGCCTTTAATTTCGCTGCCGTATAAGGACTCGGTGTTGACAAAAAATATTCAATCAAGTCGACTTCAGTAACTATTGGCATCATTGATAAATCACCACACATTTCTTGTTTTTTTAACGAAAAAGGATCACAATTATTGATGTGCTTGATTTTATCTAAATATCTGTCTCTGACATCTCCTTTTAAATTTTTAAAATAAGCACTTGACATTTTTTAGATTTTAATTAGCACTTACTTTTATCCAAAGTTTGTCACACAAGGTAAACAAAAAACACATGGCACTCACACGTACACGAACATAACCATACTTTAATAGTGGCACTTTCTTAATTAATTTCCCCAACTTTTTAAAAACTGTTGATGAATTTAAAAATTATTGTCATTTGCAGAAATTACTGCTCTATTAAAAACACATATGGTTATCATAATTTATTATTTAATTTCAGAGAATAAAAATATTTTCTGTCATCTTCTATATAAGCCAATGTTAAATTGGGGCCACGGTGGTAATCGCTCTACTTTCTGTGACTTTACCGACGGGGGTGACGTCACGTTAGATATCTCTATTAACTTGAATTTAAAAAAACACAAAATTTTTTAGTTAAAATATAAATTTTCGATTTTTATTAATTCTTAAGATTTAAATCAAATCTATACTTTATATATATCAACCAATTCGTTTCAATGCAGAGAATAAAATTATTTTATATACATATAAACATGAATTTAAGAAAACATAACATTTTTTAGCTAAAATGTGAATTTTTGATTTTTTAACTTACATTAATTCTATTAATTTCAATCAAATCTACAATTTATATATACTAATCGATTCGCCTTGACGTAAGGAAGACGATTATATGATATATTACTTTAAATTTTTCTAATTAAAATTTTTTTTAAATTAAAAAAAATTTTTTGAAAAAGACAATTTTTGAGGGTATTTTTAAAAATTCTCTCGTCATTTTTGAGAGATAAATGTGATAAATAAGCCAACTAAATTTTACCCAAATCCATTAAAACCAGTTAAAGATATCGTGTTCACAAAAATGATCCACACACACATACATACATTCGGACAATTGATCAGGATCTCATATAACATGTTTCTATATAGAGGAAAATTTGTTTTCACCATTTCTACATGGAGAGAAAAATCATACTATATTCACATGAGCAACTATTGCTTTTTTCACATAACACTGTTTCATGTAAAAATCGTTTATCACGCAAGATATTTTTGTAATTATATTATATAATTTTTTTTTATATAATTATAAAATTTGCTTGAAATCTATGCACTTTTCGGATGAATTTCTTGCAAATGGGACTGGACCCTTCGACCGACACGTGAACGGAAGTCACGCATGCGCACTATCATTTCTATCTCTGTTGCAAGAAATCCATCCGAAAAGCGCATGGATTTCAAGCAAATTTCGCAATGAGTGGAGGAGAGTATTTACGACATGGACTTGAAGCAAATATAGTACATGTTCCAAATTTTCTTGCATAGAAATCTACGACCCTATAAACTCATGAATTTTGTCTAAAAGAAGCGCGTCACAGGTGATGTGAATAATGAGTGACACAACCCATGTGAATATGGTATGATTTTTCTCTCCGTGTAAAAATTTTATAAACGAAAGGACTACAAAGCTTCCTCCACGAGGAAGCAAAATGTTTCAATTACGGCAAGGAAAAAAAATTTGATCATAAATAATTTAATTAATAATTGTTTAAATATGCATCTTCATTAGTAATTGTATCAAAAAAAGATTAAAGTAATTTTTTTTAATCATTTTGCAACAGTTATATTAAATATAATAGTAATAATAGTCATTTTTTATGAACGCGCCGTAATTGATGCACTTACCCTAATATTTAAAAATATTTAATTATTTATTTCTCTATTTCTTATTTTAAAGTTTTGCTCTTAAATAATAATTTTATTGAAAGTTCCCCTGCCGGAAGGGTGGTACTGGATTGGTACTGGAAAATTGGAACTGAGGCTCAGTACCAACTCAGTACTAATTTGGTGCATTTTGGTACTGAAATGGAACTGGGAAATTTACCTGAGAAAAGGATCGAGTTACCGTTAATACCCTCATAAAAGTGAAAAGCGACTAGTTTTTTCAATATGTTTAAACTAACGCTTTATATTTATTTCAATATTATATTTGTTTTTCCTGGATTTATATTATTTTCATACATTATTATGCATATGATATGTTCTTTGGCAGCTAATTTCAAAAATGATGTCTATTTTTTTGTCAAACTTAAGGTATACGAGATAAATTATAACTTTTTTAAATGTAATTATTTTTTGATAAATTTTAGATATTCATAATCTGGAAATATTAACGAATCTCAATATATATTTTTTAAAGTTGAGTTATTAAAATTATAAATTTTTTAAGCAATAAAACTCGGGTTAAAATTATAATCCTTCAACAAAGTACCTAGGGGTCTATTGTTCAAGGAGGGATTGCAATATAATTTCCAACCTTAACATAAATTTTCTACAAACTATTATGGTTTTTTTGCTGTTTTACACGTATATCCCCACACAGCACTGAAAGTTTAGTAAACATTTATTAAAGCTTTAACTGCAATGTTCGGAATGTTTAATTGCAAACTTGAGTAAAGGTTGCATAAATATTAAAATGTCCGCCATGAATAAATGTTTATCAGAAAAGTTGAGTAAACATTTAAATTAAATATTCGTTAAATGTTTAGCAGGTAAGTTGACTAAATAATTAAATTAAACATTTGTTTAAGTTTTATCGCAAAAGTGGACTGAAAATTTAATTTAAATATTCAGTCAACTTTTGCGACGAACATTTCCTGAAAATTTAAATTACATTTTCAGAAAATAAAAATAAATAATATTTAAGAAGTATTAACAATAATAATAATAATAATAATAATAATAATAATAATAATAGATCATTATTATTATTATTATTGTTGTATTAATTTATACTAATAGTTATTAATTATTATTATTATTAATTATTAGTTATTAATTATCGGAGGACAATAAAAAAAATTTATTTTTTGGGAATAAAAATAAAATAAATAAGTTTCAACATCGTTGCTCTGCTTTGATGCTTTGTTTCACATTGAATCAAGTATTGCATGCTTGATAAACAACAATTTTTGAAAACAAATTGGGATGTGCTGGGGATTGAACCGACGTTCCCCGCGCGCTAGCTAAAGACCCTAACCACTACACTACAGATATCTGGCTGAAAAAAAAATCTTTCACACTCTCTACAACTTACTTATAGACAAGTGATCTTACTTATCGACTCAAAAGGGCGGGCTAATTTAAAAAGGTTTTCACGGAGATATTTCAATATTCCAAATATTTACATTGTAGATGAATATAAAATTTGAAAGTGTATCGAAATAATACTGTAAAATATTTTTATATAACTGAAGGTCATATGAAAGGGTTATTATAAAATTAATTAATAAATTTTTCAATTATATTAATTAAATAAATTGAAAATAATAATTTTGATTTAAATGTTAAGAAAATAGAATTTTTATGTTCACTTTAATTTTTTATTTTAATATATTGAAATTA